TGGGATCGTGTCCGCCCACGTGCAGATCCAAGTGCGGCCGGTGCTGGCCCTGCGACCCGGTCCACGTCCCAATTCAACCCGGTCTAAGCTTTCCATTGGAGTATTACCCAGAAGCTTGGCGATGTAAGTGCGGGAACAACCTCTTCATGCCTTGACTTCACCAACCCCAACAAATTCAAGCTTCTTCTTTTCTCATTTTTTACCGACAAACGAAAAAATTGTTATATATGTACATTACATGGTTGTCTTGTCACTGCCGTGGTGTGTATGTGTGCGCGCTTTAGTTCTTCATTTCAAGACCATTAATTTAATTTCCTCGCTTATGCGTCCATCCTATTATTTAAGAACAAATCTTATGGGGTTGTGAATTCGAATCCGACCTACTAATTTTTATTACCCTCTTTCTCTTTCTAAAAATGTGACGCTGAAAGAGAGTCAAAACATGGAGTAAGCAGTTATTTCTCTCGCAGTCTCAGGTCCACACCCACAAGGACTCACCATTTTTGTTTTTTTTTTCATAAATAATTTAGCCACTATTATGTACCCAATTGATTGAAAAGTTATGTTAACTTCAAATTTATATATTTTAAATTTCAGATTATAAAATTGAAAGTTCATAGATCTAAAAAAGGGTTTAGAGGTTAAACTTGTATGCATGGTTCCAAGCCATTTATTTTTCTTAATGACAATGTTATCCAACAATCTAATCCCTCCATTCTAATAAATGTATGCACAGTAGGAGTGGGGTTTCAAAATGTGAGCTGTTGAGAAAATAAAGAAGGGATTGGGCCCAATTATGGAAACAAAACCAATCTGTGATGGGTTTCAAATTTCAATATAAAGCAATAGGGAGGGGGGATTTGGTATATTTGCATTGGAAAATGCAGAAAAAGAAGTGGAATTATTATTATATATTTGGGTTAGTTAATGATTAAAATTCTGCATTGCTCCTGTGTGTACTTTTTTGTTATCCTCCACACACACTTTCTTGATAAGGAATAAAGTAAATCTCCTCTCTTGTTCACTGTTACAACAATTATCATAATATAGTAATTGCCATATTGTCAGGCCCAATCCTTTCCAATTAATTTTCGTATGTACCACCATCTCATCTCAACCCCTTCTTTTGAAGTTTCATCACGTTTTTATCACAATTGAACTTTGAAACTTGTATAATTATATAGCATTGTAAGGGGTAAAATCTAAAATCCTACACGTGGTTTGAAACACGTCTTCGAGCCTCAACTAGCACATGGTGAAGATGAGAAAGAACTAGTCAAAATGTGCACGAGGCGAAGTTTAGTTTGGCTCCAACTTGAAGAAGATTCTATCGACAGAAAACTTGCAGCTCATAGAGTATCAATTCTATTGGTCGGAGATCTACTTCTAGCTAACATAAGATCCACTAAATGACATGGGTTAGGAGTTTGAACACAGGACTCCCTACTTTAATACCATATAAAGATAATTAAACCACTACTCAACTAAGCTTAAGCTGATGGATTAGGTAAATTTAATTCATATATATGGATTCTCGACATATTTGAAACACTAAATATTTTACTCTCTCATCTTATACAATTAAGAAGTTTGATTTTTCTTTTTTCTTTTTAGTACAACGACTAGGAGGAGAGAATTCGAACTCATCGCCTCTTTATCAGAGACATGTAACAATCATCGTCGAGTTAAGTTTATGTTGACAAGAAGGTTTATCCTTGAGTCTCATTTGGATTTGAAATGTGAGAGGAGAAGAGTGGAAAGGGATATTTTGATTAGTAATAGAATGTGTTGAAGAGAAATGAAAATGATGTATAAAGCTTTGAAAAGAAAGGGAGTGGGGAAATTGTGGAAAAACAGAGAAAAATAAAAAGAAAAGGGTATGTGGTGGGTTTTGTGAGCATAATCTCAGCGCACACACGAGCACCAGCAGAAGCAGCTGATGAGGATGAATAAACTTTATGCTTGTCAATCACCACTTTTGCCTCTATTCAACTATAAAAAATAATTGTAATTGAATGACACCTTAGTAATTTATTAATTTTTTAAATATAAAAAACTTATAATTTAACAAAAATAATAATCCCTCCAAAAGCCACAATTTGGTACCTGCAGGCTGCAATGCATTCAGATGAAGGGACTCCATTGTTGTTCTTTCGTCCCAACATTCAAGAAAATCCAAATGTTTTTACTTTTTTACATTTTGAATAAATTTGATTTTTTGCGGTTACAGAGACAAAATGGGGCCAGCAGGACTGGAGTTTTAGTCTATTTAGGTAATGATGTTGTTTGTTCCTTTGTTTTTATGTTTTTTTTTTCCTGGTTTTAAAGAAAATTAACTAAAACGAGCGGTAATTATAGAATAAGAATGAATATTATATCAACTACTTTTATTTCTCTCTAAAAAAAAACCAATTTTTTTTTTAAACATATAGTCTTGCCTGAAAAAGCAAGTCCAATAATCAATAGGAAATATAAATTTCATTAAAGTTTTGAAAGATACTGTGGTTTCGACATCTTAAACTCGAGAATGTCAAATTTGTCGGATCTAAAAAATATACGAGAGTCAGAAAAATGTGCAAGAAAATGAGTTTAAGATATTGTCGAACTCTATTAATTTATAAAACAACCCTAGAGTTTGACAAATTTGGGGTAGAAACATGAATTTTAGAGTTCAAACCCAAATGGGCTAGAAATAAGATAGAAAAACGTGAGGTGGGAAAAAAGAGAATGGCAATGAAAGTGGTGAAAAGTTAATTGGAGAGTGGAGTTAATAACTGTTGGGGGTGGATGTCCTTCAAAAGCCCAAAACGTCATGTCGTTTTCAGCAGATCCCCTGCAAACGACATTGCACTCCCCACACCTTTTTCATTTTGTGGTTCTGGTTCTCTTGCTTTCGGCTTCTTATTTTCTTAATGCTTTATTTTTTTCACCTTTTTAATTAAATATTATTATTTAATCTGAAAGCGAAGCAATATTTGATAAGACTTTTTTATTTTTTTGGTGCAGGTGAAAGTGAAACCCCCCACTCCTCTCTCCATCAAATCAACTCTCTTTTTTGACCTGTAAAGTTTCTATCGACCGTTCCAAACTGGGCTCCCCTACCTGTTATGGGCCTTCGTTATCCCCAGCCCACTTTCTCATTTCGGCCCAACCTTACTTGGGCCTCCCCCACGCCCAACCTTGTTACACTTGTAGTTCGTGTCATACTAGACAATCTCATCATTTGTGCTGGATTGTTTTCCAAGGTGGTAACATCGAATCTTTACTCTTTTATTAGAAGTGTAATAAGAGGAAAGGGAGAAGTTGGATGCTAGTTAAGCAACCGTGAATTAAAGAATTTAGTTGGAGGGTAAAATATAGCTTGCCGCATGGACCATAAGAAGGGGCGATCATGCGTCGCTCATTCACGTTGTTGGAGGTGACTTCTCAACTCACACGTGACATAAGGTAATTGGATCATCTGAACTGCATGTGTCTTATATTGCCAAAACACAAGTTTCATCACCTCGACCACAACTCTTATGGCTGAGCCGACCTGTTTGTATTAAGCATCGTTCTCCAAGTCTTTGGTTGAACTGCTTACCTCACCTCGGTTCAGCCTCTTCTCCGACAAACTTTACGACAACGCACTGCATTTCATGCCAACCTTAAAGAGTCATTGAGGCTTTGTCAGGGACATGGTCGAAGATTCCGCCTATAAATAGGACCATTTGTTCCTTTAAAAGGTACGCGAATACTAAATTCTCTCTCGAGTTTTAGTTTGGCCAACTGACTTTAGCATCTGAGTGTATTCTGTTTTGTAGATCACCCATTCAGCTCATCCTTTGAGCAACTCTCAGTCCGAGTCGAGGTCAGCGAAGTTGATCATTTTTCTGATCAAACACACGCCACAACTCATTTACCATTACCGAGCTCAATGTTTCGACCTATGATAGATTATCTATTTTCGTGAAGCTCACCGATTTATGTAACTCGCATTACCTAAAAATGCTTCTACAAGCATTAAGACATGCTACAGAGCAAAATCAATTACAATTGTGTACCAAATTCTACAATAACTACTATAACAGAACGGTCTCTCTCCTGACTCATATAAGGTCTTGACTCTTCTGTGTGGTATTCATTCTCGTTTGACTCTTGGAATCACATCCAGCCGTGGTAGTGATAAAACAAACAAAACGAAAGAAACCTCATTTCTTTAGATCAAAACGGAACCTTAGTAGGCACTCATTCTTGCATACATGTATGCGATTATGTTTGGAATTGACCTACTAGCTCGAGCTGTAGATTGACTTGAACATCAAAGTATTCGTTCATTGCGTGTAGGTATTCCAACATAGTTCGTTCTGTTTAACTCAGTTAAAAGCTCAGCCCAAATCTCAGCTTCTCAGGAATCCAATATCAACAAATTCAATTTAATTTTGTAATAAAGTCCTTTATTCTGAAAATGAGACGTTGACGAGTACGACGAGTGATTGCGAGCAGATAAGAGTGACGGGTGACAAAATTTTTATGTGAGACAAGACAAATTAGGAATGAATTGACACCTAACACCTGCTCAGCTCCAAGTTTTCCCAAAAGGGACGGAAATGGAAGATGTGGGGCTACTAGGATCTAGATTTTGGTCCCCTAGAGGGCAGGAGGAATTTTGATCAGTATTGTATTATTATTATTATGAAACTTTAAAACGTTTTATATAGAATAGGTGGGATTATTGTTGCGTGACCAAAGGGAAAATCAACACCCAAATCAAAGAATGGTTCTTTTTGACTAATCCAAATTGCAGTCTAAGAAACCAACTCCCATATTAACCCCATTCATAGGAACGACCCTGAAAACAATTTAGAAAAGCAAAAGAAAAAGACAAAAGAAAAAGAAAGGAAAGAAAAGGGTTTCATAATTCAGAAATGGTGCTGTTCCCCTTTGAAGGTGGAGAAATCCGTTGTACATGGAAGAACAAAGGCAGGTGAAGGCCAATTCACAAACAGATCAAAACCTGCAAATTCTTTCGGCGGCCATAATTAGGAGCTTGGCCACGCCCTGCGTCCACATATCGTACTCCCTCTGGTTTCTGCACTCGAATTCCACCACCCCTCGCAGCAGCGTCTTCACCCCGAAGTACCGCCGCTCCTCCCCGCCCTCGAGAAGATGCCGCCCCGGCCACGCCGGGATGTCTTTCATCACCTCCACTATCAAATCTGCCACGACATATCCATATATGAATTAAATTTACTCAATCTATCAGTTTTGTCAACGATACTAAACAACCTAACAAGGGTTAATATAGTATAAAAGTTCAAAACCCTCTGGAGCATCCGGTCGATTCCACGTCGAAAATGTAAGGAACATGAATAACCTTAAACTTTATCCTTAATATGATATCGGAGTAGAAGCCCAAAAATCTCGTTTCCTTCTAAACCCGTCAACTTCAAGCTTAAGATCAAGTGGAGGATTTATTCGTTCTTAGCAGAAAAACACTCTCTTCATTAATCTTTTAATTAATCCTTTCTTTGTTTTTTTCCAACTTTGCTGCGGCTGCTCTGCTTTGGCTTTCGTCAATCCCCATAAGAGATAACGCCCACCACACCAATTTCCACATCCCTTTCAAATCAAAAATGAAATCTAATTTAAAACTTACTTTTTTTCTTTTTGGTTATGGTCCCAGCCACGTGCCTGCTCTTCATCTTCAACACAACTTGATTCGTTCTGTCGATATAAACAGAGACGATTTTCCAATGAAGATCACCTGCAACAACAATAATATAATATATGCTTAGTTTAGTTTTGAATGGAAAATGAAATTAATGGGAATGATTAATTACCATTACGGGTGCGTTTGAGGAGCTCACAGCCATTAGCAAGCAATCCTCTGAAGCAGAGGGATTGGAGATTGTCTTCACGTGGAAGCTGAACCAAGCCGCGCTGAAGCTCGCCACTGAAGTTTCGATCCAGTACAATGTTGTTATTATTAGAATTATCAGCAATATTAATAATAGTATTAGTAATGCCGCTGCTTGAAGCTCCGATCCCTTTCTCCGCCGGAATAATCGCCGCCGCATTCCACACTTCCTTCATCCCCCGCGACTTCAGCGTCGCCGCTCCTCTTAATGCTACAAATACCAATATCCAAATTTCATTACCATCCAATACATTATTCTCCTCTAAATTAACCTTTCACAGTTCAAACATAATAAACTTTGTTTCTTTAACCATTTTGTTTTTTAAAATTATATTTGTTTCCTTTCGAAAAGAATTATGTATGTTTTTAACTCATTCAAACTCTTAACTAAATAAAAAAAAAATAAATTAATTTTGTTAGTACGTGCAAAATAAAAAAATACATGATCAAAATAGTGTTAAATTATAAAATTTTGGCTAAAAAAATAAATAAAGATGGAACAATCCACAATTTCTTCCCTTAATTTTGAAAATATTGTATAGAATAGTTAAAATTTCAATGTCTAATTTGACACTTTAAGGCCAACCTAGCTTTAATGTTTAATTCCAACTAAAAAAAATGGCCACGGCTATGTTTAATAATCATTTATTTTGTTTAGTTTTTTAAATCACTTGGGTTTGTTATGATTTAATCTAAACCAATATTTTTAAGAATTAGTTCAAATATAATTTTTATAAATAACAAACTAAAAAGAATTGATATCAAAGGAATGAAACTTAAATCTTTATAATTTAAGAAGTTAGAATGGCAAAAAATGTATAGCTCCGAGGAGAAAATCACAATACAACCTGTTGCGGCGGCGGCGGTGAGCGTCATAATATCGCCGGCGGACTTGACATTGACGGCGGAGTTAATGACGGAGGCGAGATGATCGTGTTCCGCTCCCATCGCCTCGGCAGCCTCCACGCATTGGGCGGCGACCAAGGTGGCGGCGGAGGCCATGGCGATATCGGTCTTCGGAATTTCTTTGCCGTCATTGGCACCGGAGGCGGAGGCGGAGGCAATGGCGGCGATAGCCGCCGCGACTCCGGCAACCGAAATGGCAGCATGGAGCTGCGCAGTCTGGACTCTGTTCTCCTCCTTCCTCCTCTCCTTCCTCTCCTTGAGCCACCTGCCGACGGTCTTGCCGCCGGCGGCGGAGGCGCCGGACCCACTCACGGTGGCTCTTAAATGGGAAGAATTCAAAGCGTAGTTGGAGCGGTAAACCTGCATGGAATTTTGGTGATCCATCATTGGGGAAATTTAGGGGAAATTGGACGAAGTTTGATTTCGTGTAATCCAATGATTGAATTCTTCGTCATAGTAGAGAGGATTTGGAATCAATTTCTCTCAATAATTGTTCGCCGGAAAGCCCTGTTTTTAGGACACCCAATATTCAATTGGATGAACCAAACAATGGCCTCGAGAATCGGTCTTTCAAATATTGGGTGGTTCAATTATCCTTACACAATTTAACAGATCCTGGTCATTATTGTCAACCACAATTCTTTAAGCCTAGACTGAAAACTATAATTCCCAAGTAAGAAATCCAAGGTTTTAAGTTATATTTAGCTCAATTGAAAAAAAAAAAGCCGTTAAACAGTCTTTTCTTTTAATGGCTGGAATTTAAGGTACCTTCCTTGACTAAGGTAACGTTCTTGGTCCAAAAATGGGAGAGGAAATTAAATACAATTGACGACTGACTCGACCGAAGAAGAGTTGAAGACTAAACGTGTGCACTATTTTGATATCAACCGCAATATTAGAACAACAAAAAAAAATATAAAAAAGATATAAAAATAATCAATAATCAATTTAACTATAAAAAAATATTTCATTGACACAGAATTAAAAGATTATAAATAGGAAAAAAATTCCGCTCCTTGAAGTTAAAGATGAACTTTCCTCTTGTTACGAATAAATAGATGTTTTTTCTTCTTAATTTCGGAGCCAAATTTTGTCCGTAGAAATTAAATAGATGTTTTCTCTTCTTTTTCTTTTGTAGAAACTACTTAACTCCTTGCTATAAAGACTAATCTTATCCTTAGGTATAAAATGTTTGAACCAATGTAAAAGGAGAGATATTTAAGAAAAAAATATATAATGAATTATTAAATATTTAATGGTGGAAACAGGTTAAGTACTCACGAGTCCAAGAATTTAATTGAAAAAGAATAAGAGTGAGTAGAAAAAGGAACCTTGTTGTCGAGGTCGGCGATGTCAGAAGGAGAAAAAGGTGGGCTGTCGGTTAATGATGCGGCGTTTAGTGGGCCGCTGCTGTGCGACAACCGCCCGGAATTCCGAGGAGAAACGTCTTGCTGTCCAAATTAAATTAAACCACAAATTCAATTTTATAATTTTGTTACAAAAATTATGCGAAACAAAATTAAAATTTTCCAATAACAATAATCCAAACATTTTCAAATGCAAGAGAAATCATACCGAATGCGACAAGATACGTTCCATGACCATTTGGGAGGTTTCTGAAGAAGTATAGGAAAAGGGGTTCATAAAGACCAAAAAGCCGTCGGAGTCGGAATGGCCGGCGGAATTATTGTCCATAATAATGTCGCCGGCGGCGTAACCCCCGACCGGAATCTTGGAATTGAGGAAGTTAGTGGAGGGGGAGACGGCCCAATTAGACCGGTAGAGGAAGTCCAGGGAGGAGGAATCGAGTGGCGCGGCGGCGGAGGACGGCGGCGGAGGCATGGCGGAGGCGGAGGATGGAGGAGAAAAGGAAAAAAGAGAAAGAAAGAAGACAAAAAGAAAAGGGAAATAAAATGGAAGATATATGTGTGTGGTGTCCGTAAGGCATGGAATCGCTGTAGTACGGTTGCAGAAATGGTTATGTTATGCAAATTTGTTTGGAGTTGGAGAGAGACAACCTCTTTTGCTTTCAACTTTATTCTTCTTTCGGACCTAAAAGCTTCTAAACACAGCATACCAACGCAACAATGCTACATCTATTCCATTTCTCCCACACTTTTTTTTTTCTCTCTTTTCCTTTTGATTATAAAATTCAATTACTGTTTTCCTTTATGATATTTTAAGTCTAAGTACCGTCGACTTTAACCGGCTCCTAAACTTTTTAATCTCGTGTCTAATAAATTTGAGAGATATATATTTAATGAATCTATTTGAACAAAAAATACAACATGACATATGGACTTGGAAACTCAGCTCTTGATATCGTTCGAAGGGGTTAATAAAGCTACTAGAAAATATCGATCTAAACCCAGAACCGAGCTGGAGACTGTAATTTGGAAAAGCTTACCTGAAATTCTACAGAGCCGACCTGAAGACTCCGACCTGGGGCCCAACAGACACAATCGCTCATGGGAGCGGTTACAACTGTCTTGCTCCCCTACCCCCAACTGCCTATAAAAGAGACATTCTGCCTCTTGACTCAGGTATGCAATTATGTTACGAGAATGAATTACCATAGCTCGTGCCACTTCTAACTTGAGTATCAGAATCTGCGGTAGCTGGAAAAAATTATGTATCAACAGAATCTCTATTAGAAGTAAAAGTAAATTTTGTGTCTAATAAGATATTGAGCTTTAAATTTTGTGTTTAATAAATTAAAAAATACATCAAGGATCTAGGCATACAAATTAGTTGTTAAATTTTTTATGATCTATTGGACACAAAATAGAAAGCTTAGAGATTTGTTAAACAATTTTTAAAGGGGTGAGACTTATTTGAAAATCTATCCAATAATTTATAAAGTTTAAGGAATCTTTAGGCACAAATTTGAAAGTTTGGTATGAAACTAAATTTTAAAGTACAAAACTATATACTTTTTTAAAGCTTTTGTTCAAACAAGACTTTTGTGACATAACTAGGTGTTTCGTTTCATACTTAGATCTTGCGAGGATCATAGGAGAATTGTGAAAATTTGGAATTGCGATATAATTTATATACTAATTTGGTGTATAAAATTAGGTATTTTTCAAAATAGTTATATAAATAATATATAATAAATATGTAAGGTTAAAGTTAACGAAACAAATAGCGAAGACATTACTTAATACTTATCTCTGTAAAGGTGAAAGTTCAAATATTTTTCTCTTGTAACTAAAAATATCAATAATATGTATTTTTAAATATATCAGAAAAATTTAAACTTTACACAAATAATATATTCTAAATCTAAATCAAACTCAAACTCAAGGAATGTAGCGAGAAGAGTGACACTTTTTAAGTTATATTTGAAAAAAAAATCGTTACTTTTTCAAAAAATACCTATTAAATTTGTGTTATGAAGCTAACATTTCTCTCTCTTTTAATAATAGTAATAAAAAAACTTCTCTACTTTATTTTGTTTTTTTATTTTTAATGTAATTAGATGTTGTGTGTTAGGCTACTCTAACAAAGGAATATAAATTAAATTGTTAGCCAGAGTACTTGAATCATAAACATAAGAGACAAAGTAGTGAAATATGTGTAAATTTAAGGGCTTGTTTGTTAAACTATTTCTAATACAAATTTCTATTTATTGTTTCAATAGTACTAAACTATTTTCCTAATTTATGAGTTTCAAGAATGTTTGGATATTACTATTTTTCTACAACACGCATTTCTATCTTAGTCACGTTTTAAATGCTGGTTCATAATGTTGTTCTTAGTTTCACGAGAATTTTGTTAAATTCACATCTATTTAATATTAAAATACCATAATAATAAATAGATAAATAAATAAAAAGTAAAAAATATTAATAATAAAATAAATAAAAAATCGCACTTTGCTTCATTTCTCTTTCATACCCAGAGAATTCTGCATGGCCCAAAGTCGAGCCCCCTTCATTCCAAGCCCAGGCCCATAACTTGATAGAGTGTTATTGATAAATTTGACCACTTTTTAGATTGAAAATCAATCATTCATGCAAGAGATAATACGAAGGACTATTTTGAAATCTTAATTACATAAATGTCCCTAGGTTTCAAAATTTACACTTTTTAGATATTTGCAGTTAGGATTTTATTTTAATACCGTTTCTACCCTTATTTATTACTTTTTATTTTATTATAATTTTTAAATTTTAAAGATTTGAATTCTTAATGTGTAATTATATTCATTTAATTCTTGTGGCCCCATTCAAAATTTCAACCTTAATTCCTCAAATCTCTCCTTCAAAAAAAAGATTTTTTTCTCTCACCAATTAATAACTTCCAATTTTGTTAAATGAATTAAATGCTGCCGATTCTCTTTCCTCGTTTGCTGTCGATTTTCTCCGGCCACCGTGCAAAGCCGGTTTTCTTCACCGCTGTCTTCGTTTCCAAGGTTCAAAGACGTTGGCTGCCAGACCTTCATTTTCCATCTTCAGGGATTTTATGAACAAGGTATTTATTTCTTTTGCACGTTTCCAACGCCGTTCATTCCCGTTCATTCTCGTCGTCGTTCATTCCCGTCGACATCTTTGCAAGTTTCCAACACCGTTCATTGTACACCAAATCAACGAGGTATTGATTTCTTCTTCCCCAGACACGTCCAAACCTTCAATTTCCGTCGCTGAATAGACTTTCTGTCGACGTCTTTGGACGTTTCCGACGTCGTGCAACGTGTTCCTCGTCTTCTGTCCCCTTGTGTTTATACCATGGGTAATTAATAGTCTTCCGTTGAGATTGGTATATATGGGGATATGGAAGTTCTAAACGTCTCACAGTGTTAGTATTCCTGATTATATTCGTATATATAGGTATATATTGTATATGTGAATATATCTTATATGTGTAT